AGTCAGTTAAAATATGGGCATACTATTTTATTCCAAAAATCATTATTGTATATTCCGATTTGTATCAAGCCATCGCTACCTTCACAATGAACTTGACCCCATTCAGTACTGTAAAGGGCCCTTGTAGGGGCTTATTTAAAGATTGAGTCTGCATTGTCCACCCACTGGTTACCCCCCCATTCCGTACTTGACTTGTTTGTGAGTAATTTGTGTACATGGGCCAAAATACTTTTGATCCTAAAAACTGTCCCTGGATAACATTACAAATGCGAACAACAAAATTGTGATAAATATAAAATAAAAATTTTAAATTGAAAATTACAGTAATTCCATAGTAACCAGGTTTCTACAAATTGTCCCTATTCCAAAAGGATTTCTCAAAATTTTCCAGAAGTGGAAAAAATGAGTGGCTTAGAAACGTTTTAATTGAATAATAAAAAAAATATTTTGTTCCACGTTGTAGATACTTATGAAAAAGTAAATGATTGGAAAGGCTAGGTTCGATTTGTAGTACTTAACAAAGACAGTAACAGCGCGGGGCAGATCCCTGCGGCAAGAGGTCGTATGTCTTCTCTGAGTTACCGAATGTTACGTCCTGACGATATTTCACGTTATTGTTTTATTACGATTTAGGTTTTTGCAACCGTAGTAAAAATTGGATTTATTGATTGGAAATTATTACATTGTCAAATATTTACAACTCGTAACTCTAACTCGTTACAAAAAAAGTAACGCAGTAGTTAGATAGGTAACGTAGTTGTATTTTTGTACATAAACATATAATAATCCGTAGATAGGAAAATTTCTTTTTTCCCAGAAAAAATTTCTGTCCAATGGCCTACGCAGAAAAAAGTCGCTATAGATAAAAATTGAAACAAGCCCGGAAAAAAAACGATAGAGAATTTCGTACCATTTAAATAATTCAATATCACCCTATCTGGGCAAACTTTAGTGACTTAATAACATCCTAATAACTAAATTCATTTTTCTCCGATGGACCAGCTACTCAGTATCGAAAGAAGCAACATTTTTATTTCATTATTCACCGAATATTACTGAGAAAATTTTATACCAGACAACAAAATTAGTTACATGGAATTTCTTTGAACTGGGCACGGCAAAGGGGCTGCTGATGGTGTTGGCGGCTATTAAACTGCAGATAAAAAAGTTCTGTTAGTTCAAATATTTCATGCAATGAATTTTTTGACACCTAAAAGACTTGAGCAAGGTCCGTTTTTACTTGGTGACTATGACGTGATTTCATACTTGAAAAAACACTACCTGAAAGTCTAGTGCCACTTCAGGGTACGATGCAATAATCAGGTTTTTACTCACACTTGGGTGAACTTCGCTAAAAGACCTTAGTTGTTTTTGCAAGAGGGGCTTGTTATCTATCTAAAAACAACCTAAAATTCTCATTGACACATAAAAAGACGTTCCATTTGAGAATCGGATAATGATATAGTCCTGATGACATTACAATTTGTGGTACCTTTAAGGTACGTATTACAAGATTTATTAGAAGTTTATTATTCGTCTTCTAGCTCTGACGAGAAGCCCTTATGAAGCTTGTGCTAATGTCAACATCTAACCACACGACCACGTGAAATACAGCAAATTGAAAAGGAAAATGTTCATCCTACGAAGATATATGAAGGTGTCCATGTTTTAGTAAAAGTTACTTATGTTAAGGAAAAATAAATACTTTCCGGTTTGTTAAAAGTAAAGTTGATGAAGAAGGGGACGTTAAAATTATGTTTTACAAGACAATTGACGACCCAAAAATTCAAAGCAGTAATACCGATATATCTACGAACTACGAAAACATTGTAGAAATTGTCCCAACCAAAGTTGTCGTGAAAGGAAAAATATACTTCAATTATGACAACCAAAAAATTTCTGAAGAGAGACTGAAGATATAGTGCCTCTTAGTTATACAGTTGATTTTCTCATTAAGGTATATTAATTCTAACAAATATTGACTAAACGTTTTATGTTACTTGAGGTACTTAATTTTTTGTCGAGTCATGAACAGTTAAAATTGTTTTGTTATAAAGATCTCTATTAAAACTACAAAGTATAGTTTAAAAAATACTACTTTTACGAAGATAATACTGCGTTACTTTTGTCCCTCTGTTTTTATTGTATCTTTAATTATACAAAGGACTCTTATTGTCAAAAATGTCTTAAATTTATACGTACGACTATTATGACAAGAACAATACTATGTTGTCAATTGGAATTAATTTTAAGTTTATTTTTGTAATTTATGGAAAAGTTTAAGTTTTAATATTTAACATAGGTAACGCAGTGTATCTAATTAAACATGAATATTCGATGAAACTGATTATTTCTGTGATTTTGCTTTATAGGTGATTTATATAATCACTACAGTTTAAAACTGACGTATTATTAAGTCTCAATGTCCGATTTATTAAATAATAACCTCATCTGTAAAATAGTTACGCAGTTGTTTAATTTCTGACAACTTGATGTATTTTATGCTAAATATTATTAAATCATTTAAACCATCGCTGCTGAGGTAGGTGTGTTATAAATAGAACTTAATCTATTTCAGCATTTAAAAAAGGAAATTAAGTATTTCAATTTTGAAAAAAAAATCTGAATTGTGTTCTCGGATTAGGCACTTAAAAGTATTTTGGCCCACATAATAATTGTATTTTTGAAATCTTTTTTTTTTTTTTTTTTTTTTTTTTTTTAGTTAATTACTAACCAATTAATAAAACACTTTTAACCGTTTAAAACACGATGTGAACCGTGGTCACAGCTAGTTTCTTCTAAATATCAACTGTGACGAAACAGATGGCGCTGCAGTTTTGACCTTGACATCAGGGACGTCTTCCATCTTCAGTCTTCCATGGCCACAGCCATTACAAAACTAAGTTAACTAATATATTTCGCGTTTTTAACCGCTAAAAGTATTTTATCCATATATGTACTACTCACGTAAACTACGGACAATGTAGTATTTTATTTTGCCTATTAAATAACAAATGTTTTTTGCTTACCACGATGTTCAAATTTTATTTTTGAGAATTTATTATTTTTAACGTAATTACAGTTTAATTTACCGTCTCGATTGTTATAGTAAACAATGGAAGTTACTTTATTTAATTATTCGCAAAAATAAACATGTTTTCACGGAATAATTATTTCGTAACAAAGCAAAAGTTAAACTCATTTGATTTTTAATTAAAATAGCCACGAACAAATGCAATTGACTTTACAATGTTTTATACTTTTTCGCGGTGCTTGGTGATTATTTTCATATTGATGTATTTTAAAGAATTATTAGCATCAAAAGGTAAGTTATACCTGAAACATCAATTGATTATATTATATAATTATCAGCGCTACAAACATTTTACCACTTTAAATTAAACACTTTTAACGGTTTAAAACTGTAAAACATATTAAGAAAGTTACATTAACATGATCGTTGGCTTTAAAGATGTAAGATCATATATAAGATTGCTATAAGATTTATCTAGGAAATTCTATTGTCTGTTCATTTATCATGTCAGTTCATTTTTAAATAAAGCACTTTTAACAGTTTCAAATGTGAAGTATTTAAGTTACTAGTTAACTTAAATATTTCACATTTTAATTTATATAAGGCCAATCATGTGAAACTTCGGGCCACATTTAAATTAAAAATAAGTTAACAATAATTAATATGTCTCGTTTTAAACCGTCAAGAGTGTTTTATTTAAATGTTAAAATTCTATGTACTTTTCTTATATATACTTTTCTACTTTACAGCTGTATCTAACATAGATGACAGTTACTCTTTTGTAGCCTTAATTGAGTAAGTACTTAAGAATTCAATAATCACATTTATAATATACCAACTGACTTTTGCCATGTTCATATGGCAAATGAAAGGTATTTCGACGAAATTTTACCAGAAATTTATTTTTAGATTAAGGTTCAAACAAACAAGCTCTTCGGCCTTGTAATATTAGTATAGAAAGATTTATAAAAAATAACCTCTGTAGTTGAAACAGCGAAGAAACAGTGGGAACATGTGAAAAAACGGGGAAAATTATACATCTTTAGGGTATCCCCTACTCTCAAAATATGTATTCTTTTATACATATATATCCCCCACTGAAGGAAGAAATGTCCGCGACAATACCTTATTAGATTAACATGCAAACACGATGGAATGCGGACGGTTAATAGCTATAATTTATAAGGACGAGGTTTAGAAAAACAAGTTCTGTTGCCCAAAATAACTATTCTACGCGGACACAGCTATTACACATACATAGAGCGTTGTATGGGGATATTTTCGTTCATGAAGCAGCTCGTTTACGCGTCAATTATTTTTCAGTATCGTTTTAACGGACGGCGCCAAGAGGACATGCACAGGGACTATTATTCACGACAACGTCGTTATCACAGCGGCGCACTGCTTGTTAGTACGTTATCTGTAATGTTTTAAATTACTCCTGCATGAACACGCGCTGTAGTGTTTCCTGCGGATTCATTTGCAGTATATCAGTTACGGTAATCCGATTATAACTTGAAAAAATTGTACGACTCGCGCAGGACTTGAATCCACGGCGTTAGGTGCTGTTGCTTTAACGGCTAACCAATTGAGCTACCGAGTCCTACACGTCATCGTCGACTTTGTTAGATTTTTAATTGTATAGTATATAGCGCCATCACGTGCAATAAAATTTGAAAAATATTAAAGCCTTCTACATTGGAACCGTCTATAGGTATGTATAACAGTTAATTTGGCCTATATTAAGAAACAATAAATCAACTTTACGAAGTACAGTGATGCCAAAAGGGTCCTTAAAGCTTAAAGCTTATTTAAGCAGTTATTCTTCACATCAATTGATATTAAATACTCTACTGCAAGTCTTAACCTGAAAAACGCTACAAAAATATCTTTTAGTACACACGAAAGAAGCAGCGAAATCCAAGCGGAGTTAACAGCGTGCTTCGTAGTAATCGGTACGAAGAAAATGTTCGACACCGGCTACGAACAATACCTGCCGATAGAACGGGTGCTCACCCACCCGAAATTCAGGGGGTGGACAGCAGACCTGGCTCTGGTGTTTACTTTCGCTAGCATGGTGTCTGACAAACCCGGGAGGGTAGTTCCTTTAGTCAGCGATAATGTAAAGGCCGCTGTTGATGCTAATGTGACTGTGATTAGCTGGGGACGCTCTAAAGATGAAGAAACTGTGGAGCAGGTAAATACATTTCCCCTTGCTATGATATGTATTTATAAACATTATATATATAACTAGCGATTTCAGCGACTTCGTCCGCGAAGAAATCTATTTTTGGCATCCAAATTTATTTTTGCAAACCTCCTCTTCTTTATAAACTTAAGCTATTACTAACGACGTCGGTCGCGTCCGGTCTTTTCGCAAGTTAGTCTTAAAAAACTAATTCCAAAGATGATTTAAAGAGAAATCATTCATTCACAAATATTTTTTTGGTATCTTGAACCGTTTTCGCAACGTACGCATGGAAAACTCACAGTGATAAATATTTTTCTTTACATTTTCCGCTGTTTCTTCGCTCCTAATAGTCCCAGTATGATGTTTTGTTGTAGACTACAATGACTACTACGACTAGACTACTACGCCTTCCTCGATAAATATTCTGATCATCACAAAAATATTTTTTCAATTCGAACTAGTAGTTTCTGAGATTAGCCCGTCCATCAAACAAACAACAACTCTTCAGATTCAAATTTTGTTTTTTTTAAGTAATAATAATGTAAAATTTTACAAGTTAAGATAAAGTAAAATAAGACATATAAGTTATATCTGTATTATTGTTACTATTTTTCAATAAAGAGTGAATAAATGAAATGTTTAACAAAAGCGGGAATCAAACCCCCGACGAATGTTGACTGAACTGACTATATTTATAAATTTATTATATTCGTTTTTAAGTTATGTGTGTTGATTACGCGATTATTTTAACTGTTTAAACCTTCGACCCGACACGTTGAATGCTATTGTGATGCGTAGTAAGTGTCGGGCCATTATAAGATAAATTAAGTAATAGATTCGTGTTGTTATAAGTTTAAGTAGCTAATGTGCTACAGTGTAAAATAAAAATGGAAATATTATATGTACTAAAGTTTCAAGTACAGCAATTTGATACTGGCAAACTTTAAAGAAGGCTTCTTACTGTAGCATTAAGTTACAAAGTTTCTTGTAATTCGATAGAAACTACAGCTTGTTAAGTGCTTAATATAATATAATACAAATGTAACTAATTTTTTAAACCGTGGGTTTGGGTCATACTTATAAAATTATTAAAACTTAACAAATAGTATCGTGTCGGCATGACGCATTCTTTTCAAATAGACAAAAAAGAAGGCCTTATATATCTCAGGAACTACGGGTTCGAATTGAAAAATTATTTTTGTGTTAGAACATTTGTCAAGAAAGGCTATAGACTATAAAACATCGCGCTGTAATTGATTGGAGTGAAGAAGCAGCGGGAAATGTGAAAGCGGGGGAAAATTATTCATCCTTGTGGGTGTCCGTTGCGTACGCTGCAAAAACGGTTCAAAATACCCAAAAACTCTGTAGTAAAGAACGATTTCTCTTTAAAACATCTAATAAAAAGTCCTCGGCGGTATATGTCTATATTTTCAGATTAACTTGCAAGAACGACGGGACGCAGGCGACGTCGTGGGTAACAGCTGAAATGTATAGAGTTGAACAAAAGGTTTGCGAAAACAAACCCTTGCCTTGCCACCCTTTAAAATATTTTTTCAATTCGAACCAGTAGTTGCCGAGATTAGCGCGTTCAAACAAACGCTTCAGCGTTATATATTAAAAGAGAAATACAAAATCAACAAAATTGGTTTACAAATTTGTTGTTAATTAACTTATATATTGTAATATCAGACAGGAAAATTATTATTAACAATTAATTGATTGAAAGCTTCAATGTTGAATGAGTAGAAAGTGGCAAACAATTAGAACGTATAATTAAACTCTCGATATTAAATTTCATTTTGTCACCTACTTCTTTGAGGAACTTGTTGAGACACGGTGCTTTGTCTTCGTTCTTAATTGTTAAGCTGTTAAATTCGGGAGTAGTTCATTAAATCTACAATGATTAAAGATCATCGAAACTTTAGTCATAGCTCTTTAAATTTACAAATAAAACATATTATGACACAATATAAAACAAAACCCAAGCATTCTATCGCTGTCTTTTTTCGTGGTATTATATAAGTTAAAATAAAATTATAGTTATAACTTGTATTCAAACATACTTATATAAAATGTACTAGTAATACACTTTGACGGGCTCGTTCGTCTAAAGTTTAACTGTTTAAATGTATGGCTGGTGGTCAAGGGTTCGTGGGTTCGATCCCCACTAGCTACAACAGGTTTCTAATAAATAACATTTATTATAAGGCACGCTTTATTGGTAGAAATATCATTAGTCCATCTGTCACCAACTACCATTCACATATAAAAAGCCGTGTAGTTTAATCTCATCTCGTTGTCGAATAAACAAAGTACGAGTAGGCCGACAACGAATCTAGCTTAGATGTTATATGGCTGGTATATATCACCTACTATAGAGTATATCCCATTGTCTGTGTTCCTATAAAAAAAATATATATATTTAAAACCAAATGATTGAGATATATAAGAAGTAAAAAAAATAGATAAGGGTACGGAATCTTTTCGGCAGAACAACGATTCGCACTTGGTTACTCTCTTAAGCGATATGGAGAATTTTGGAATGTATTATGCTATATCATTAGTAAGAGTAGATAATTCTTCAATTCTGAAATAACTAACTGAAAGTTTATCATTGTCTTCAGATATATACACCACCAGCTGTTGAATCAGACGAGTCTACAGAGCAGTCAGAAGAGACGACATCCCACGAGAGTTTAGAAGTACCCGTTGTAGCGGTAATAATATTAAATGATAATAAATTAAAAATATATTCGTGTCTAAATATAAAAATCTAAAATTTCCCCAGAAACTCACCCAGATTGAATGTTTATACCTAATGTTAGAGAATTTTGAATATTATATTTTTGTCATAATTTTCATATTATGGTGCACATGATAGGTTTCTATAAATAAAAAATTCGTATTTTTCCCGTTAAGTCGCGTGCAATTTTTTTCAGAAGAGGCAGAAAGTCCGCAAAAGGTTCAAAATTAAATCAAAGTTAAGAAGCAAGCACAAATCCAATGAACGTTTAAAGGTTCGTTTATTATTTTTATTTATACTGTTTCAACAGTTTAAAACGTGAAATATTTTTTACGACCACGTGACCGGTGCAAAGCCGCAAAGCATCCAAATGCCGTGCCGTAATTAAATTACAATAAAAAACAGTTAACTAATATATTTCGCCTTTAAAGCGTTATAGGTGTTTTATCTCGTTGGTTAATTGTAGAATTGTATGGCAAATAATCAACGGGTCGATGGATCGATAACTACCACACTTTTAAATGAAACACTTTAACGGTTTAAAACGCGATATATTAGTTAAACTTATTTGAAAATGATTTTTAATTTCGGCCCGACGTTTCGGATGCTTTGCAGCAGCCGTGGTCACGGGGAGACAGTCTCCCCTTAAATGTGTACTACTCGCGTAAACTATAGACAGTATTTAACTACCACACTTTTCTAATCAATTATATAATTTTTCTCAAACGAGTTGGACTTTGTCTGGAAATCTGAATATTCATTGGATGGTAGGAATATCGTAATCCTGGTCACGAACCACCGACCACAGGTAAATTAGCTCGATTAATAACGTTCGATTTCACTCTATAGATAACAACTAGCGTAGCACTTTTTACTTTAATTAGAGACATACTCCATCTTTAGACTTCCCGCGACCACGACTTCTGCAAAACATCCAAAACGTCGGGCCGTAGTTAAAATGATTTACAAATAAGTAACTAATATATATCGCGTTTTAAACCGTTTCTAAATTACAGACAATGAAGGACGTCATCAGATTTTGCACGGTCCTCAACAGAACCCGTTTACTTTACTAAGTAGCTAAAATGCATATATGTTGTGCAGAGCACCAATAAAGCTTTACACTTTTCCGCTGCAAATAAGAAGAGCTATGCAGGAAATGAAATTTAACTGTTCAAAGCCAAATACTTATCGTAGTCACGACAAAAAGGCGTACGATTATTTTATACAGAATAGCTTAGCGTAACAAGAAAAGGCTTTTAGATGCCGAGTACTCGGTGCTCGGAACACTAAGCATCGCCACTCGACGTCGGAGACAATTTAACTCCTATTGTCATAAATTAGTGTTCAAAATTGTATCTCGGCTCTTCGTAAAATTAGTGCGCACTATCGTTGAATAATGCTACATTTTCGTACGATTTCGTTGTTTTAGTTTATTTTCATATTGAATGAACATTACGTATATTTACATTTGGAAACATGATTTAAATATCATATATTTTGTTTTACATAAGTGTATCGAAAATTAAATACTGTCTGTAGTTTACGCGAGTACTACACATTTGAATAAAACACTAACGGTTTAAAACTTGATATATATTAGTTAAAATTATTTTAACTACGGCCCGACGTTTCGGATGCTTAGCAGCAGGCGTGGTCACACGAGACTCCCCGTTTAACTAATATATATCGCGTTTTAAATCGTTCAATTGTTTTATCTAAATGTATCGAAAATATTTAAACGGATAATATCAATATCTGAAACGATAACATCGAAACTGGCAGAGCCCAGTGAATATGAGGGGTTCGATTCCAGGCAATAACATGAATTAATTAATATCTATTTAGATTCAAACACTGGCGGGTCGTGAACCGGCATCTACAGCGTTCCATGCTGCTGCTCTAACCAAATGACTTACTACCGTGTGTCACTTCATTTTCGAATTTCATAATTCATAATTAATGCCATGTATGAATCTAAAACTTGGTACATAAAATTGATACTCATTATATTAGATGCAAGAAGAAGAAAATCAAGACAAGAAATAGATTTTTACTATCGTCACTAAACTAACCCTTACTAATATTATAAATGCGAAAGTAACTCTGTCTGTCTGTCTGTTACTGTTTCACGCCAAAACTACTGAACGGATATGAACGAAATTTGGTACACAGATGGTCTAGACCCTGAGAAAGAAATAGGCTACTATAAGGCTTTTATTGCGAAAAGAGGGTTGTAAGTGGTTAAAAGGGGGAGGTGAAAGTTGGCTTCTTTGGCTTTTTGGGAATATGAGTGAGAGTTAGAGTAGGCGTGACATATCACGCCTACTCTAATCAGACATTTAATAGGTGAGAGTGTTCCGGCAAAGTAGCACATACAACATAGACTGACTGCCCTAAATGCGCCCTTACATAAATTAATAAACAACCTAAATGATTAAAAATTCTACCACAAGTCACTATTCCATGCGGACGAAGTCGCGGGCACAGCTAGTATAATTATAAAGTAAACTCTCGCTATAACAATTTTCGTACCCTCACAATAACGTTCTTAGTTAGCATTTCTCTTGCTTATTTTTAACTGTACAGTGTAAATTTAATTTAAAGAAGTTTCTAGAAGTCACGTACGCGCATTTATCACGAGCGACCAAGAGCCGACGCTAAGGACCAGTATGATTTATCAGAAGGAGACACTGTAAAGACATTTTCATTGAAAATGGACGCTTATGACTTCGATGTTCATCGCCACGAGACTACGACAGGTTTACAAGGAATTCCGGTAAATGAGAACGATTTTATAATGTTTAAGATACAATATACATACTCAGTTTACATTAATACTATAATTTGGTTTTTATACCTACCTCTTTATATGACATGGGGAATGGGGCAAGGGGAATTGGGCATGAGGGTAGGGCTTGGCATGGAACGGGGCATGGGGCATGAGGAACGGGGCGTATGGTATGTCATGGCATGAGGAATGCTATATAAGGCATGGGGAATGATGAATGGGGGAATTGGGGAATGGGGCATGAGGCAGATACATCCATTTCTATTATAGTTTTTAATAACAACCATGTAGTTAATCAGACTTCTGTGTCCTGCCTGACGGAAAGTATCGTTTACCTGAAATCGAACCTAAAACCTCTCACGCATAGCGCAGTGCCTTATAACCATAGACCCACTGAAGGGTTAACTCTTCAGAAATCTCGTCAGTATCTTAAATTGTATTATCAAAATTTTAACGAGAGCTATAAGGCTTATTGACCAGATGTCAGTCAAAGCTTTGATTTCAAAACTTTGTTTACAAAATATTCGTTGCGAATTCCAATTCGACGAATAGTATCAGGTAAACAAACTGCGATTGAATCCTATACGTTACTTTCCATTTTCGTTAATAGTTTCTCATTAATATTTTATTTAGGAGATATCTTACGAAGCAAATAACAATTCGGACTTCAATAGCGAGGAAGATCGCAAAATCTGGAAAAAGACAAAGGTAAGTTATCACAGACGTCTTAAGTCTTGATAGTAATACTTACACTGATTCTATATATACTACAAACAATACTTACTATCAAAAAATCTTTACCTTTAATATTTTTCTTTCGAAAATTTCACATTAAAATTGGTAATGCTGGTCTGTAGTTTACGGTACGGTAGGTAGGACATTTAAAAACTTTTAACGGTTTAAAACACAAAATATATTAGTTAACTAATTTACAATATATTTTACGTTCTTTCTACGTTCCGAATCTGCTGCATTTAATTAGACTTTGACATGCATGACACAAATCATCTTCAGCCCCCCAGTGACCACGGCTGCTGTAAAGTATCTGAAACGATGGACCGTACTTAAATTAATATATTACGCGTTTTAAACCAATTAGACTAAAGATGAAGGGTGCCTGAATGTTAAAGTAAAAACTGCTACGCTAGCGCCATCTGTTCCGTCTTAGGTGGTATTTGGCGAGACTAGCCGGGTTCTTGCAGAATTGACCAACGGTGTCTTCGCTTTTGCCGGTATGCTGTTTTTGGGGATTCAGACATTTAATATGGGATCCTAGGTGTTTGATAACTTGTGGCCGTTCTATTTATTGAAATTGAAACGGATATATACCGCGTTTTAAATCGTTAAAGTGTTTTATGTAAACATACCTTGCTTATCGTATATTCGAAGCCCATAGAGCAATATTATAAAGACACGTTATTCCCGAGCTATCTTCGATATTAATATATATGAAATCTTGAATAAATCGCGCATCGGTTGCACCGAGTATTGTCACTCTAATTGGACCGCTCTATAGACCCATTGTGCCCCACAATACACGTACCTGCGCGTAATGAGAAGAATCCTTCCTTTTTTAATTGACGTCATTAAAACAAACATTTACCTCTTTTTCGTATGTCTGGAAATCACAAAGTAGGGTACGATGTGTTATAAAACTTTGTTGGTAGTAAGTGATAGTAGTGTGGGCCGAGGTTTATTTTCCACCAGGTATGTTTTTAAATAGTTTAGCTTAGCCAGGTAAGTTTGAACAATGGAAACTATAATATTTTTCAGATGTTATTGCACTATATAAATTGAAAAAAAAATATGACACGGGCAGCATTTGGATAGGCAGTAGGTACATGTTCCAATATCTTAAAAAAATCGACGATGATGTGTAGGAATCGGTCGGCTCAACAGCACGGGACACTGTGGATGCCGGATCAATTCCTGCCCGTGTATTTTAAATTTTCCAATTTATTATTTATTTTTAATTTAAGTTTGAACTTTGATTGGTGGTAAAAACTTCGTTTAAATACACATTTCTTTCTGTCCATTAATGGAGAAAAGGTGTGAAGTCTTCAATCGCATTTTAGTTTCATCCTCTAAACGGATGCCTACCTATAAAATAGGTCAACAACACACCTTAATTAAATGTTATATGGCAGGAGTAATTCACATTCCATGTGAACCCCAAACTTGGTCACCTTTTTCAATACAAAGACAAATACTATATACTATAGACAAAACAGTTTGAGTTGTTATTATAAATCATTAATTAAATTAGATAACTGTATATACTTCTGATTATGAATATAGAATTTTTATTTAATAAAATATTTTAATAAATCTATACCAATTTATAAAGATTAAGAGTGAAAGCGCTAATTTTAGGAACTACCGGTTCGAACTGAAAGATTTATTTTTGTACTAATTAGGAAAGTTGTCAAACATCGTATCGTGACTAATAGGAGCGAAGAAAGCGGGAAATGTGAAAAAATTGGAAAAATTATCCATCTTTGGGGCTTTTTTGATGCGGTAGTTGCGACAATGGTTCAACTCTACGTCAGCAATCACCTATACCGCGCATGATATCACTGCTCAACAAATTTCTTAATTCTGCGCCAGAATGTGACATATTTGCGTCTGGGTTGGGAAAGTTAGGAGATGAATGCATGCTAACAACGTTAGTTATTAGTATAATAGTCTTAAGGCAAAGGGCAATAGCTGTAATTAAATAAATAAAATAAAATAAACATTTCTAAAAAATGTGTATGAAAGAATGAATCCTCTTTTAATGAGAAAAAAATCGCGACAATTTATGTCTGTCGTTTAAAATTAACTTACAAGAACCGTTAATATGGCAATCAAATTTAGTCTAATAACTTCATATGGCAAAATAATGTTTAAATAAAACACTTTAAACGGTTTAAAACACAATATATTAGTTAAACTTATTTGAAAATGATTTTTAACTTCGACTCGACGTTTCGGATGCTTTGCAGCAGCCGTGGTTACGGGGAGACTCCCCGTGACCACGGTTACACCACCGCATATCGCGTTTTAAAGTATTACAGAGTTTTATTTAAATGTGTACTAGTCGCGTAAACTACAGACAGTATTTAAAAGAATGTTTATGAGATCAGCTAGTGTTTTTAAAAGTAACATTATGCTAATTCTTATAAATGTAATTCTTATAAAACTCTCTTAGTCCAATAAATAATACCTAAAATACATTTTCTACAGAAAAAACTGGATAATATCATGTCCAAATTGGATATTCGTAAACATAGGAGCTCGTATGTGGAAACAACACACAATGTAATTTCATATTACAAAAATAATTGGCGTAGGAAAATGGGAACGCAGGTGAGTGCCTTACGAAATAAACCTCATTTGTTTTGTTTCAATACTGTCGATACAATGAAATATTTTCACCACATACAAAGTGTCGGGTTCGTTTTCAAATGCGCACACAATTGTACGATTGTCTAGTATATCTCTAATTTAGATAGACAATTATTTTGATAATAATCTTTATCAAAATGATTAAAGGTTATGTGGGCATTGGACAGCCCGGATTACGCGAGTCCTACAAGTAAAAACGCTCTTAAAGACTAAAATGAGAAAAATAGTCAGTTTCGTTATACACTTGTAACACATCTGAATCCAAAACAGATCCGATGTCGGGTCTTTGTAAACATACATTTACTATTATGTTTAGCGTTTATAGCTATTAAAGGGGTTCTATTTGAAATAAATAAACCGTTTCGCTGTCCGATATGTTTATCGGTTGAATGGTTCAGTGGTAGCATTATATACCTTAATTGAGTCGTGAGTTCGAACCCTACCGTCCATCATGTTTCTGATCAACTCATAATTCTTATCAGACATATTAGACGACTTTTCTGACATCCTGGTCTTATTATTCTTAATCAATCCAATATTAAATTGGAATCCCGGATAACGACCACCACCCCGAATATCCAAAGCCAAAATAGGTCAATGGCGCAACGTCTATAGGCAAACACTGTTTTTGGCAGTCAGTGAAAATCGAACTCGCAACTTCTCGCGCTCAACATACTATAACATTTCATTTAAATGTTGTAGAGCCGCAAAAGTCAAACAATTTATCTCGCTTAAAATTATTTCCGCACTTCGTAGATAGTTTAATTAAGAGACAATAACCAATTTAATTAAAACATTTCAGCAAAATAAATTAACAGTTGAAATCTTCGGATTCGTTAACGTTGCCAGTTGCAAAAAAATTATAGAAAAAGCGAAGCCAAGTTTTTATCGCATACGTGAGTATGAACGAGTTTTTTTTAATTAATAGAAGGTCATTTTAATGCACTCTATATTTCAATAAAGCATTTTAACGGTTTAAAACGCGATACATATTAGTTAAACTTGTTTGAAAATTATTTTACGGCCCAAAGTTTCATTAATATATATCGCGTTTTAAACGGTTTTTTTAAAGGGCCCCCCCCGGGGGGGGAACAGGGGGGCCTGTTGTTTTTTTTTTTGGGGGGTGGTTTTTTTTTTTAAAAATTTTTTTTTTTTTTTTTTTTTTTTTTTTTTTTCCGGCCCCCCCCCCTTTTTTTTTTCCCCCCCCCCTCCGCCCCCCCCCCCCCCCCCCCCCCCCCGGGTTGTCCCCCCCCTGGGCGGGTTTTGGGGGGGGGGGTGGGCCGCCGCCCGCGTGTTTTTTCCCCCCCCCCCCCGGGGGGGGGGGGGGTTTTTTTTTTTTTTTTCTCTTTTGGGGGGGGGGGGGGGTTTTTTCCTTTTTTTTTTTTTTTTGTTGTTGGGGGGGGGGGGGGGGGGGGCCCCCCCCCCCCCCTCCCCCTTTTTTTTTTTTTTTTTTTTTTTTTTTTTTTTTTTTTTTTACTCTTTCACGCCGAAACTACTGAACGGATTTAAATAAAATTTGGTATACAGAGGGTCTAGAACCTGAGAAAGAACATAGGCTACTTTTTATTGCGAAAAAGGAGTTGTAAGAGGTTAAAGGAGGGGGTGGGAGGGGGGTGGTGGTAGGTGAATGATTGTATGGAAATTCGTGGTTTTTGAAGTTTTCTTCTTTGGCCTTGGGAATAGGAGTGGGAGCGAGAGTGAGAGTGAGAGTTAGATTAAGCGTGATGTGAGGTAAGAGTGTTGCGATCAAGTAGCACTTACAACATAGATAGATATCGATTATCGCTGCGATAAATGCGCAATTATATTAATTAATAAACCTCAACGAGCTCAACATCGCGTTTTGGTTGTAGTCTGTGTATTACGGAATGTCTAACGCCAAAATAGGCCGACAGCGCATCTTGTCGGGATATTATATGCCTGGGGGTTATACATCAAGTCAACATCATCAGTCAGTTCATCTGTTTCATAAAAAAAAAAACTACTCGATACAGGAAACTGTGTTCGCTACTGTTATTAACTTAAGCGCGTAAAAAGCTAAAAAGGGTGGATATATTGAAATTTCTATTTAATTAACAGATAACGGAAATGAAATGATCTGCTACGCGAACGAAGACCGCTACGTTACTACTGTAAGTGAATTAAAATTTAAAAATACGGCGCGGATATCACTAACACTGTAATTACATTCCCTATAATTAAAACTGATATCCCCTTTCCCCCATGGGGCATCGGTTTTCTTTACACGCAAGTGATTAATAGGACCTTTATGCCCTGCCCGGACGAAACAGTCAATTCTGTCCCCGGGATTTGAAGCCAGGACATCTTTCGTTTAACATTTTCCTACAGAGGCGGTCTTATTTGTCTTAAATATAATTTTAATATATTCAAACCAGATCTTAAGTGAAATATGAAAATAATATTTCAAACGTTCGTAGTATGTTTAAAGTTTTTATTTAAGGATATATTCCTATTTATTAGACTATGTACAATTTTATATTAGTAGATGAGATTATGTATTCAATATTTCAGACTTCAATATAACATTAAATACAAGTTAAAAATTTACTACTTAGTTCCCCCGTAACCACGGCTGCTGCAAAGCATCTAAACCGTTGCTTAAAATAAATTATAAGTTAGGTAAAAATACATTTTGGCCGTTAAAAATGTTCTATTTAAATTAAATTTGTACTATCATTACTTCAAACAAACAGCTCCTTAATATTACGTCATTGTTCAGTGATCAATTGACGGTTAAAATTTGTCTCAATTTTTGATGTTAATACGAATAACTGAGTAAATAAGAATTAATAACGAACGCTGCATCTTTATACAGCTTTATTTATTCATGGTGTATTGCTATAAATAGACAATGCCTGTTTCATGCTCTCACGCGGCTTAAAACCAGTATATAATGACCGACAGCTCAAGCCTTAAGGATACACGGAGGCTTAGTTATTTCTTGCTATAAAAAAGTAATAAATATCGATAATAAGATTAATGTAAGAAATATTTTCGACATATCATGTATGTCGAACATTATATGACATATTATGACGAAACATGTACATGAATAACAAAACATAAACATAATATGTACAATATAATGATGCACAACAGAGAATCGAACTTATTAGTGTAGCTATTTTTGGGTTAGTGGAAGTTAGATACCATACGCACGTTAACACTATTTATCAAAGCAGCATGGAGTATTTGATGTTTATATAGTAGTATAGTAAATTACAGTGTAAATAACGCTTTTTGACAAAGACAGACGGGGGACAGACAAAAATTGACTTGCGATATATCCCAGCCATATCTAAACAAGATTTACGAATTACAGACAAGCAGTTTCGGGACGAGGGTGGAGTTTCGACGTTTTTACCCCTATTTAGGCACAGATTTTCCAAAGTTTTAGATGATTAAAAATAATACTTAAATGTTTCAATAATATCCACCCTCTGGAAGCGAACCTACGTAACTAGGGCTAACGAGGTCGACAAATCTGTTCAAAAATGAACTTACTAGACCACCAACACGACACACATAACTACATACACGAAAACCTCTTAAAAAATGCAAGACACAATATACAAACATACATAATAATATATACTATTCTCCCGCTTTTTACTAAACGACTCTTGCTTCTGACATATGTCATTTGAAACACCATAATGAGAGTGACATAGGATGCTTTTACGAAAGCATGTAAATTTAACCACGACCTATAGGATAAATACATGTCCGATAAAATATATATATATATATATATATATATATATATATATATATATAAAATTGGCTGTAGGTTACGCGAGTAATACACATTTAAATAAAGTACTTTTAACTGTTAAAAACTCAAGATATTAGTTAACTTATAACTATTAACTACGACCCGACGTTTCGGATTTTTTGCGGCAGCTTTTTACAATAAATTGCATATAAATTAATTAACATAATACGCGTTTGAAACCGTTAAAAGTGCTTCATTTAAATACGTCTTAAGTGTTTAGCATGTATGTATTTTACGCCTATAGAAAAAAATTTAGTCTTTAAGATTTTTTAAATAAAATATTTATTTTTAATACAAAAAAACATATATTAATACAAATAATTTTAAACAGAAGCAACATGGATCTCTCCACATAAATAATTCGACAAGTGATAAATGAAGTCCAATTCCCGCACATTTTATAGACACTCGCTGTTTGTAAATCGTATATACATATTTTGAAGGTAATGAATGCGGTTTGGTTCACTTCGCTTAACGCACTCGTATGACTGATTTTACCTCATTACAAAGTGAAATATTAATCATTACAATATAATAACTCGTTCTTGTCACATATTACAAAGAAATATATAAATTAATTGCGTTTGTATTCTCGGTAATTTTGTTTCAATTAAAATTTTAATAATTGTTTGATATTGTTCTTTCAACCTTTAATTACACACGTCATGAACATAAAAACCTATACCAACCGGTGGGTATAGAATCCACGACCCATTGATTATAAGCCATGTTACCTACCTTAGCCTAATGGGAATAATTTTAGAATAGATACAATTAAATTGGTTTTTATATTTATTAAAAAAAGTACGACACGGCAGGACTTGAACCAGCCTTAACCTGAGCTACCGTGCAAATACATAAAACATTTTTAACGGCTTAAAACGCGTAATATAATTAAGTACGTAAGTTAATTTACTATTAACACGATTATTAGATTCGGAGTAAGTTAAAATGCTATTAATTTATATATGCTTTGTAAGTATTACTCCGATAAGCTACATAGAATAGTTAATGCAGCCTTTGTAGAAGTTTTCATGATAATATTCATTATTCTTTTGTTTAAATACAAAAAGCAAACAAAGAATAGAGCTCTTTATACTTTGGTATTTATCTAGGCCATGAAAAAACAAAAAAATATCTTTGATACAAAAAATATCTAAACGACTCGAAAATTTAGCTCATTGTGTTTTTAATTATTCTTACCTTTTAAAAATCGAAAAAATAATTTTCGACTGGGACTCGAAAAAAAAATCAATTTATTTTCGATTTTTAAATTATATAGTGCCTTCATGTGCAATACATGTGAAAAATATTAATGATTTCAAATATTCTTACATCTTCTATACTTATAGACTACTTTAGTAGTTTTAGTAGTTAGTAACCTTTTCTGTAAGACATTCTTTATTAAGTAACAGTATAGTTACCTAAGTTTAGTTATAATTTAAATATATTTAATCTACGCGTTCCAACCATCCATAACTTGTACTAGAAATTGTAAATAGATCGTACAAACTTTAAACAAATGCTACACGCGATAAGGCACTTTAAAACATTTTTCACAGTTTTTAAAACATTCCCCACTAAGCGTGTTAAAGTTGAACGTGCGAGGTAATCTATTATACTACTTTATGCGGCCGAACCTGAAATCTAGCGTAAAATTTACGAGTTTAACATTATGTTGAAATGAACACTGTTTTGGCTTTGCACCAACGGGATTTGAATATTAAACTTTTAATGAATACATTACTTTGGGAGTAGTTTTAAGTGTCGTGGATTTGGGCTGTCATTAGCTGCTTACTAACTTTGAAACTTGCTTACGTACACTTGTATGGCTTTCTGTTATCTAGGAATCCAATAATAGTTACAAGTTGACAAAGAAATGTTCCGCTTTTTTATGATATAGAGGCTGGTTGTTGGAAGGTGTAATAACCCAGCCACATTCACATTCTAATAAAGGTCGCTGTCTACTTTGGCTTTAGACATTCAGAAATCCACAGACTGAAATGCAATTAATCCTAACCGTTCTTCATCTGTGGACGGTGGTTCTTGACCCGAACGGAATCTCGATATTTCTATCAACCATTTATATGAAAGTTTTACAGATGAAGTCCAACGTGTTTAGGCTCATTATAAATTCATCAAAAACATGTTGCAACCGTTGTGGATCGAACCAACGACACAGTGATTATGAACAATATATCGCTGCTACTGAAATAACCAACCCGTCAAACCAGACCAGCAGAAACTGCAAATGTTTGTTACACTAAGTTAGCAAAACCTCCTATATCTTTTATATTAAATTCAAAGCCATGCTTCCTATAGGAGGACTCAGGTGCACCGGCAATGAGACACGGCCATCTTGTCGCAGTAACGGTCGGCGGGGCTGAATTCGACGGTGACAACGTGGCTGTAGCTATGAAGATTAGCTGCTTCTGCTCTTGGATAGCTGAGAACCTACCGTAAGTTTATGCTTTAACCTAATTACATTACCTATTCATATAAAACACGCTCACGGACATTTTTTAAAATCATTTACAGAGGATTCATTCTTTCATACATATTTTTCGAACCGTTTTCAACTCAAGCCCTTAAAGATGAATTTTCCCTTTTTTCCACATTTTCCTCTTTTTTTCACCCCTACTGGTCGTTCTTGACGCCTTCCTCGATAAACTGGGCGTTAATTGTTTAGTTATCAAGCGGGAAGAAAAATATTAATAAAATTAGGGGTTGGTCAAAGAAGAAATGTATTTTTTAATGAAACAAAAGGCCAAGAAATATATTAGAGGGTATTAGTTAGGGATGTAAAAAGACCTACCTACTACTCAGACCTACTGGAAGTGTTAAAAAATTTCATAAATATCGATCGAGCCGTTTCGTATGAGTGTTAATTGTAAGTAAAACTAACTACATCGCTATTTTTTATCAACTCACTCATCAATTGTTTATTTACGTCCTAATAAATTTGACATTAATTTTATACAGTTCATTAAATATATAAACAGGTATATAAGAAACTATATCTGCAGTTAACGCGAGTAGTACAAATTTAAATAAAACACTTTAACGGTTTAAAACGCGATTTATATTAGCCACTTATTTGTAAATTATTATTAACTTCGGCACGACGTTTCGGATGCATTGCATCTCTTTGTCTCCCAGTGACCACGGTTGCTGTTTTATTTAAAGCTATATAAGTACTAAGTGCACGAAAGATTTAGATATTTTTTATATTTAATATTTTTTAAACCTGCCGAATCGTTTGCTCAAAAATTCTACTCGAAAATGGTATTTCGAACTTTCAATGTCAAAATCTCTATAGCAAATCTCGAGCCATAGACAACGAAATAAAGCCTAAATTGATAGCCAGTTTCCGTTAAGCTGCTTTCCCGATACGTTTTTCAGCACTAGCATCCACATTCCTCTAACGATCGGTTCGGGATTTTGTTCTGACAGTGGAATGTATCGGGTTCGTGGCCCGGATTGAACGTAGTTTGATAAGTAATGTTCAAGCGATTTCTCTTTTAAAATGGACAAAAGGAACGAAGGAAGTAAAAAGGGGCCTGGGTTCGATTCGATTTTATAACATTGCTTTAAAGAACGTTTAATTTGTGGTAAATATTGAAAATCTTTTTTTTTAAATTTGTGTTGCCTTTTCATCACCGATATGGCCATTGGTTTTAATTGAGTTTTTTTATTTTATTTTATTAGTTTAATATGTGCTTTAAATCGTTTTATTTTAAACTTTTACTAAAACAGATTTTACAGAATGAATTGCAAATCTTATATAGGTAATATTTAAATAAAACAGTTTTACGGTTTACAACACGACATATTTCCTCTAACTTATCTACAACCTATTATAACTACGGTTATGGTCACATCAGGTCTGAGTGGCGCGTCGTAGTTAAAATAAATTATAAATAACTTAACTAATGTATTTCGCGTAATAGCGAAAATTACAGATACTACCTAATGTGCTTTTTTACAGTGATGGCGGTCCTAACATGCAATGCTGTACGAATTGTTGTGACTTGCACACACAGCAGTCTTTGGAATTGAGTGAAGAGAAAACGCACCGCTACGTTTATAGAAAGAGAAAGAAGATATTATGACACAATTTATAAAACCTTTTCAAATAAATTTATTAACTAAGAAGTGTATTTGTGAGCGTGTAAAATCCCGTTTTGCCCCTGTGCATGGGGCGAACATTCTGTGTCCGATTCACTGATCGCTTCTTTTACAAGTGACTAAGTAAGTTGATGAGACTACTGTGCTCTGCCCAACAGAAGCAATTTATGGGATTCGAACACAGGACCTCTCGCGCCTAACCCAATGGTTGGCAACATGTCCATCTGGTAACAGAGGCGGTCATGAAGTGTGTAATAATTGAAATAAAATTACTCTTGTAATAATTAGTTTATTTTTAACACACACTTAACTAAATTCATATTATATTATTGCTTATTTTGTTATGGGGACAATTCGTACATGTAGTTCTTGGGATAAGCGTGTTCAAACAAACAAAACTCGCATCGTCTTTATAATGTATTGTTAGGTCGGAAAAACGATGTTAAAATCTTAAATATTAATTTATTATCCAAAATTAGGCTTAACCGACAGAATGCGCTCCAACGTTCGTATTTGACAGTTCCTGAGCTAGTGTCGGCGCGCGGTAATCGCGTCGCACTAGTGTTGTGTCGTCCCCGCTAAATCGGAGGATTATTCATATCAGTTCGGCCATCCTGTGTAGTCCTTCGCCCTCGAAGGATGAAGTAGCGCTCCCGCTAAACCGCCGCCGTCAGGGCTGCCAGCGCAGCCACGTAGACTCGGCTCAGCCACCTAGAGGAAATAGCCTCGTAGGCAGTAAATAGCCCCGTAGGCAGATAATAGCCCCGTAGGCAGTAAATAGCCCCGTAGGCAGTAAATAGCCCCGTAGGCAGATAATAGCCCCGTAGGCAGTAATAGCCCCGTAGGCAGATAATAGCCCCGTAGGCAGTAATAGCCCCGTAGGCAGATAATAGCCCCGTAGGCAGTAATAGCCCCGTAGGCAGTAATAGCCCCGTAGGCAGTAATAGCCCCGTAGGCAGTAAATAGCCCCGAAGGCACAACATAGCCCCGTAGGCACAATATAGGTCAGTAGGCACTATTTATTTTATTTATTTTAGGGGTGACAGCATCTTGCTTTAATTCGTCCTCTGATGAACAACTGTCTTGCGTAGCTTTCAAAACCTTCATTTAGTCACCTTATGACCAACCTTGTCACATTTGTTACAATTGACCACCTTGTTTAAGTTTTTATTTTTATATATTTAACAAATTAGTATCATGAACTATTTCCGACAACGCTCCAACTTTTAACAATTTGTCTCCAAGTGTACCCACAATTGCTTGAGCTATCACATCATCACTCATATTACATGACATGCCAATACCCAGCTTATCATAGTAAAATTTTATTGGGTCTTCATCTTTTGTCTTGATACGGTTAACAAGTTCCCTAATCTGTGACAACTTATTCTTAGTGAATGGAAATGCTGTAATTAATTTTATTTTCTACTCATCCCAGCTAATGTCATAGCAAGTTTGGCGTTCATACCAGCTTTTAGCATAGCCACCCAACTTAGAAGTGCAGTTGCAAATCAAAGTGCGTTCATCCCAGCCATGCATATTAGCAACACCTTCTAAGTTACGGAGCCAATGTTCTACTGAGACAGATGATTTTTGAGGATTAAACTCAGGTATAAAATCATTCCGCCCCACATAACAAACCACTGACCCTACTCTTGGTGTGGTGACACCATTATTATAATTTTTCTGTTGTAATTCTTTAATCAACCCTTCTAAAGCTTCGATTCTCTTATTCTTCCTTTTAAGTTCTTTTTTTTGTCGTTTCCTTTTAGATTGTCTATCTGAATTACTTGACCCTGACGAAGAAGCACTAGTAGACCTATTTTTCTTATGGTGTTGACCCATGTTAACAATTAAAACAAAGTCACACACAATAAACTTATACTGCTGTCTCCACTAATAATTCTCTTTGAATAAAGTAAACTTCTTTAACAAAAGTAATTAAATTCAGTAAAAGTTCAATTATCCAAATAGTCCTTAAATTTAGTTTAAAATTAGCACTTTAACAACTTAGAATAGTTCACTTTGTTTATTTATGGGTTGCTGAGCATTTTAACAGATATTAAAGTATGCTCAAATTATCAGTCTACTTATGTAAATACAAAAGTTCATGGAACAATCTCACCAAATAACCAGGAACATTTCAACACGCAACTGATGCATCTTCAAGCACCTTGTTGTGCAATCGTCACCGTACCAGGATAATTCACACAAATAAACCAGTTTCTCAACCAGAAAATGTTCACCCAAAACTTCTACAAACTTGTTGTACTGGAGGTCAGTGACCCTTAACGGATTGACAAAATTTGTGCAAAAATCAAGTATTAAGTACCGATCTGCATTAAACTTAGTTACTACAAGCGTTCTTATCACTAATTATGTGTGTCATCACCAAATTATATAATAAAAGCGTCTTTTCGCATCCAAAACCGCCAGTTTTTTTTTTCACCAAACTTTGCACTTTAAAAGTGAAATTATCGTCCAATTCATTAAAGTGCACTCGTGGGCAAGATCACTTATCGCACTTCTGATATTGTTAGAGCGGAAAAACGATGTTAAAATCTTAAATATTAATTTATGATCCAAAATTAGGCTTAACCGACAGAATGCGCGCCAACGTTCGTATTTGACAGTTCCTGAGCTAGTGTCGGGACGCGCGCGGTAATCGCGTCGCACTAGTGTTGTGTCGTCCCCGCTAAATCGGAGGATTATTCATATCAGTTTGTATAGATAAACTTACTAATACTTAATTCAGAGAATTGGTTACAATTACGAGTTTGATGACAAGTTATACAAATGTGATATATTTCTATAATTTGTCATTAAACTCGACTGTCATCAACATCCACAACGATGATTACGTCATTCCAGTATCTTTGAATAATAATTGATTATTTGTATTGTAATCTTTCTAATCTCTCAAAACCACTCTATTCAAAGACATACAAATACGTAAGGCAACCGAATTGTTATTTTCCCCACTCGAATTAAGTTTATGCAAATAAGCTTATTCTGTCTTGTAATAAGATTTATGGCGACAGTCTAATCCATTTGTAATCCGCTTTGTGCCTAAACAGGAGGAAAAAACTCGTAATAGGTTTTTTTAAAGTTAAGCAATCTTAAATCTAAATTTTAAATTTAGTATAGAAAAACAAAATTTTATGACTTAAGTGTTATTTCAACCAACTACCTCTCCTATTTATAATTATAGTTTCAAATACTAGTGCAACACCACTGTGGTACTAAATTCGAGTTCTGCTTATATAAAAAAAATCCCACCCTCACTATAAATAACAATTCAATCTATTTTAATTTTGGTAATCTTTCATCTGTTAAAGAGTACACATTGAAATGAAATTAATTTAAAAGGGTTTTACACGATGACAAAACCAATAATTTCACAATATTTATACTAATGTAATAAAGCTAAAAAGTTTGTTTGTTTGAACGCGCTTTTCTCAGGAACTACTGGTTTGAATAAAAAAATGTTTTTTTTTGTTGCTTGGACCATTTATTGAGAAAGGCTATATATCTATTTGGATGCCCGAAATAACTTTTCTTATCTACTACTACAACTATTCGAATAACTAGTATATATGCTACGTATTTGCTGCGGTGTATGAAAATAACGTGTGTCGTGACTATGACCAGTGGCTCGTAAGTACTTAACTAATAATTTCCACGCTAAGTTATACTTTGACAACCTACCTCAAGTATTAAGTAGCTATGCTTTAACTTGAGAAGAGTTCATTCACGTGTAAAGGTTCCACTCGGCGCTCCTTCGCCTTCAGTTACTCCACAAGGATCCTTAATTGTCTACCAACGACTGGCTTCAGGGCAGGAATGAAATCAGCCGTGGAAAAGTCTAGATCAATATTACGTCTAGACGCATGATGCGATTACAAGGGGATATTTTTTACGGTACGTCAGTTTTACATTAGCATGATTATATTTCAATTATTTAACTTACGTATTGTCTTCGAAAAGAAGAGTAAAAATCTAGTATATCTGAATTTAATCTGGAGTATCTTTGACTACGTGACAGAAGCTGTAAGATGTTATTTGTATATCATTTTATAAAACACGTTTAACGGTTTAAAACGTGAAATATATTAGTAACGTAATGATACTTGTGGCCTCTCGACGGTAAAATCAAACAAATAAACAACGCAAATATGAGTTACAAGATTTCTAAAATCATCAATAATAATAAAAAATTGGCCTCTTCAAACATCCAAATAGTTAAACGTGTTGCCTAGGACTGTGTTAAACGCGAAAGGACCTCAAATTAGTTTTTGCAATTCTAGAAAATTAAGCTGTTACCCACTACGTCTTCCGCGTCCCGTCGTTCTACCAAGTTAATCTTACAATAGATATATGCTGTCGCGGATTTTTAGGTCATTTAATGAGGAATCATTCTGTCATATTTATCTTAAAATGAGTTCACACCATACCCATGAGAAGGCCATCCAGATTATTTTCCCCGTTTCTTATACATGTCCAGTTATTTTTTCGCTCGTATTAATTGCAGCGCGACGTTTATAGCCTATAACCTCCCTTGATACATTTTTTCAATTGTTCGAATTGGACAGAATTTGTCAATTCGAACCAGTAGTTCCCCAGATTATCGCGTTCAAACAAACAAGCAAACTCTTCAGCTTTATATATTAGTATAGATTACTTGCCTTTAGCATCGATCGGTGACACGGACTCAGAAATGGGTTCGCTTCATACCCCACTGGGGGAACGGTTTTTCACTGCTAAATATATCCAAAACAGGTCAGCTTTAAAATATTCCCAGCAAAAGCCTACTACATCAAGCCCAAAGCACTAAAGAGCCTAAAAGAAATTCACCCCTTCCACAGTTAATAGCTTTGTTCATGTAAATAATTGCATCTCTCGGCTCGTGATCCAGGATTACGTGGGCAATTACCACGGGTTCCGTACATCCTATATAAACCTCCGAAGCTTGGGTGATGCTTAGAGCCTGCAAACCTGGATTACTCAGCTAATTGCTAAGTGTGGCGTATCTGTTAGTGATGTATTGGTGTTCGCCCTGAAATTAAACAAATAAACTCTACATCAAAAAGTAAATAAGAAATTATATATTTTTTATCGCCATGTCCGCGAAAGCCTTATACAATTTAAACTTAACTTAAATTTCAATACTTAAAGATATTGAGATTCTGCTTATAAGATCGAGCAGGTCAGGCAAGAATGTGTTTCAGTTGATGTTAGTTGAAATATCCCAACCGTCTAACTTCTAAACAAAATGCGCTGTCAAGATATTGTGGATTTGGATATTCGGAAATCCACATGCTGAAATGGAAACCGATAAGCTTCGCGGTCTTTTCGTGTGTAGACAGTGGTTCGTGACCCGAACGGAATTTTCATATTCTCTACCGAGCATTTAATATCCAGATTTTCCGACGAAGTCCAACACGTTTCAAAAAATATACATAGCAAAACGTTACATATTGTCTGTGGTCTATTCGAGTAGTACACATTTAAATGAAACACATTAACTGTTTAAAAGCGAAATATATTACTAAAACTCACGCCGACCACTGCTGCTGCAAAGCAACCGAAACGTCGGGCCGTAGTTAAAATAATTTTCAAATAAGTTTTTATATTTTATTATTTAGTATTTTGCCGTTTTAAACCGTAAAGTGTATTTTTAATAGAAAATTGTTGGATTGATGATTATTACATTGCTACTATAACCCATTCTACACGATAAATAGGAATGCTAAATGAAACACAGTTGAAACTCCAATTCTAAAACTCTCGTACTGTGCCAGTCACTAGACGTAAGAATATTACGTTTGGAGGGAATTTTAAGACGCAGTAACTTCCAACGCGTGCCAGTCGCTGCTTCAATATATTTTAGTGCCAAAAGATCTCGGGCTTGTTAAATATCCTTTGTAGTTTTGTTTTATTCAAGACGTAAAGTGAGAAGTAAGTTTCACTCAAATTACTGGGA